CCAGATACTTTAGGTAATGAGGGAGTTAAGTTAGGAGAGTAACTGCTTGCAGTTTTAAAAAGATAGTAACTTTTTGTTTCCCTCTTAATGTGCTAATAGTTGTGCCTAAAAAAATATGCAATTCTTAAAAAGGTACCATTTCTGATTTCTTTATTATCTGTAACCTTTGGAAACTAATCACATGAAACTACAAAATTAGCAAATGTCTTGAAATCTGTATATAAAACATAAATTACCTCTAATTTCAAACTCTCATTTATTAGTGTACCACTCAATCTTAAAAAACAAAACAAAACAAAAACAAAAACGAAAAAGAAAAAAAAAGCGGCTCCAAGGATAGTCTTATACCATTCTTTAAAAAAGGAAACTGTTCCTTTTAACTTTACACCCACCCCATACCCCAATTTCAAAACACATCATTTAATTGTCTTGGTCATGAACATTTCCAAGATGAGATTTTATATTTCGTTCCCATAGCTTCTGGTTATCAGAAAACCCATGTTTTCCTTTATTGAAAGAGTTGGATCCAGCTGATGTTGGTATATCCCTTCCAATATTCTTCATCCTCATCTTTGCTTCTGGAGGCATTTCCTCTGGTTCACTATCTTCATCTTCATTAAAAGCTGCTGCTACTGAAAGGGTTTTTGGAGCAAGAGTTGGAACAGTTTCTTTAGGCTTACTTGATCCAAGTTTGATGGATATGGCTGATGCTTTCTTTGTTGTCTGACTACCTATGGCAAATCCAAACTTGGAGATCTTTGTAGGCTTTGTTGGGAGGTCTGCAGCTTCTTCAGCTGATCGCTTCTCAGCGCTGCGACTGGAACTTCCCCCTCCATTACTGGAAGAAACAGTCTTAGTTTTCATAGGTTTTTCTGCTTCTTCTTCAGGTCCTGGTGAAGTCGAAACAACTTACCAAGATGAGCTATTTTTACTGAGCAGATTGATGGGAGCAGCAACCTCAAAAAGCATCGTTATAAGGAAGATACCTCTGCAGTTGTCACCTACTGACCCAACAGTCTCTTCCACTGTTTGTTAGAGTATATAGCAGGAACTGAGATTGTGTGGCAGTAGAAGAGGCTCCCATGAATTAACTCCGGCGGCTCCAACTCGCTGCGGCTTTTCAGGCTTCTCCTCTCCCGCCTTCCCGTCCGCCATTTTCCCCGCCGTGGCCTCCCCTGCAGCTACGCCCCACAGTAACTATTTTAAATTCCTTGTCTAATTTTAACGTCTATGGGTTTTGTTTGTTTTTGTTGTTTTTCTATTTTTGTTTGTTTGTTTTGGTACTGGGGATTGAGCTCAGGGGCACTCAACCACTGAGCCATATCCCCAGCCCAATTTTTGTATTTTATTTATAAAAAGGGTCTCACTGAGTTGCTTAGTGCCTCACCTTTGCTGAAGTTGGCTTTTAACTCACAATCCTCCTATCTCAGCCTCCCGAGCTACTGGGATTACAGGCTTGCACCACCATGCCTGGCAATCTGTGATTTTGATTAATCTGTTTTTCTCTTGATAAAATGTCTGGTTATTATTGATTATATGTCAGACACTGTGGAATCTGTGAATTTTCCTTTTCAGGTATTTCCTCTCTCCTTTTTATTCTTCTCCCTCCTTTTTTTTTTTTTTTAAAGAGAGAGTGAGAGAGAGAGAGAGAGAGAGAATTTTAATATTTATTTTTAGTTTTTGGCAGACACAACATCTTTGTTGGTATGTGGTGCTGAGGATTGAACCCAGGCCGCACGCATGCCAGGCAAGCACGCTACCGCTTGAGCCACATCCCCAGCCCCTCATCCTTTCCTTTCCTTTCTCCTTCCTTCCTCATCCTTCCTTTCTTCTCTTGTATTTTGGAATTTCTAAACATATTCTATTTTGGGTTTTGTTTTGGTACTGGGAATCCAACCTAGGGGCACTTTACCACTGAGCTACATCCCCAGTTCCCAGTTTTGGTTTCTGGGTTTTGTTGTTGTTGTTGTTGTTTTGGTGGGGTGGGATACCAGGGGCACTTAACCACTATTTACATTCCCTGTCCTTTTTTTTTCTTTTTTTTTTTTTAATATTTATTTTTTAGTTGTAGTTGGACACAATACCTTTATTTAATTTTCTTTTTATGTGTGCTGAGGATCGAACCCAGGGCCTCACACGCACTAGGTGGGTGCTCTACTGCTGAACCCTAGCCCCAACCCCTTTTTTGTTTCTTGAGACAAGGTCTTGCTGAATAGCCAAGACTGGACTCAAACTTGTGATCCTTCTGCCTCAGCCTCCCAAGTAGCTAAAAATGGGCTGATACAGGGGCACGTGCCTATAATCCCAGGCTTAGGAGACTGAGCAGGAAGATTGCAAGTCCCAAGAAACTGGCTAACAGGTGTGTGTCACCACCCATACATCTTGTTTTAACATTTAAGTGCAACCCAAACAGTGCCTAGTTAAGAGCTAATTTTTCCCCACTACTGAGGTAAGACAGATGTCCCATGAATCATAAAGTTTTCCAGGCTGCCTGCTGTACAAGCACTCTCCTTGATGTGCATAAGTATCACACACTTATACCTCTACCCTTTTCAGTTTTTTTTTTTTTTTTTTTTTCTGGCCTGGGTCACTGCCCTCACTTGAAGGAGCCAGACAGTATTCAGCTGACTGCTGGTGGGGAGCTGACTGCAGACCTCGGGAATTATGTGAGTACAGATGTCTCTTCTCTGGAACTCCAGACTCCTTGGTCCTCCCAGACTCTCAGCCCTGTCTTCTCAATTCAGGGCCTCTGCCAGATTCTACCTGGAATCCCCCACTCTTGCCTATAGCCTGGAAATTCTCAAGACAGGAAGCTGGGACAATTGTAGGGCTAAATCCATTTGTTTCCTGTCTCTCAGGGATCACTGTCCTTTATTGACTGATGTCCATTGTCTGTTTGGGGAATTTTTTTCCAGTAAGAAAGTAAATCTGGTTCCTGATACTACATATTGGTCAGCATAAAGCATTTGCCATTCATCCATGCTCTTGTCTATATTAGTCATTCATTCCTTTTTTCTTCTCTTTCCTTTCTTCTTTTTTTTTTTTTTT